CCCAAACTGCCCCTAGTAGTTTGGTCCCGTGATGAGATCGTTAACATGTAGTGGTTTCTTGAATGAACTTCCATTTTTAGTTTTATTCCACTTCCATTTGTATTCAATTTCCTTTTTCTAGTCAATTTCCTTTTTTATTTAATTTCCAAATAGATCGTTAATGTCACGACCCCAAACTGCCCCTAGTAGTTTTGTGCCATGATGGCCAGCAATCCGAGATTACCGAAGGCCAACTTTCAAAATTCACACACAATCAGAGTATAAATATCTGGGGCTCACAAGTGTGGAAGCAATAATTTAAAATACAAGTGGTCCATAAGAGTTATGCATACATCAATGAATTGTCAAACATCTTTACAAAACTTATAACTTAGATACAATAGAAATGAAATACAAAATACACCTTGACCAAAAGGCTTCTCAAGCCGACATATACAAAACGTAATGAAATACAAGCTAAGAAGCATGATCTTCAAGATGCTACAAAAATATGAATCCAAGGAACATCGGCAATACATCCAAAAACACATCGGCAACATATCTAGGCCTCATCGCCTTCTTGCTCATCACCTACATATATAGAGAGAGGGTGAGCTTGGATACTCAGTGAATGGTACAAGTAATAAAGGGTTTGCATGTATGACATCCGAGATCTTTAACAAAACGACACATAATCATAGCTTATAGCAAAATGTGGGATAAATCAAATTCATCTAACGAATCTATCGAGCTTCATCAATCAAAGTCTTTCAAGGCTTCCAAGTTCAAGGGATGACATTAACAAGGGTTGTGCTACAAATGCTTATAGTCCCCTAGCACGTACGGACTTTCAAGATTGTGCTACTAATGCTTATAATCCCCTAGCACGTACAGACTTTCAAGATTGTGCTACTAATGCTTCTAGTCCCCTAGCACGTACGGACTTTCAAGATTGTGCTACTAATGCTTCTAGTCCCCTAGCACGTACGGACTTTCAAGATTGTGCTACAAATGCTTATAGTCCCCTAGCACGTACGAACTTTCAAGATTGTCAAAACTAAGGCTAGTACTTGATACACAAAATAGGAATAGTCATTCATGTTTAACAAATACTTTTCCAAAACAAGCAAGGCAAGGCTTTATCAAAACTTAATAACATAACTTTATTAAAAATACCACTCACCTAGTTTCTCAACGTCGGGGTCAAGCGGGAGTCCAAGCCCTATAAACACATGGTGAGGTCTACTGAATGTACTGACAAACGAGCTTTACATGAATGCAATGATCTCGGCATTTCTACAAAACTAAGTCAATCCCAAACAAAACACTGTTTCTCATCTCGGGAGAACATGCTGGGTACCAACAAGGCTATTGCCAAGGTCCCACACCTCCTTGCCGAGGTGTGGTCCCGGTGGTTACCCTCAAAGAAATGAAGTCGGGAAAATCTAGGTTTCCCTCTACTAAAGAACATGAAACACATGAATGCTCAATCTTAACTTGTCATTACGAAATCTGGAACTTCATGCTATGAATTTAAAAACATGGACCTAGGTACCCATACTCGAAGATCTTATGAAAACAAACACAAAAGCATGGATCTGATTTTAACTTTCGGATCAAACAAGGCTTTTATTCAAGAACACATGAATACTACTTTCTCTTTCTAAAACCAAACTTTTAATCAATGCATGGCTCATGAAACATGCTAGATCATGCAATGCAGCTAGCTGATTAATAAGAACAACAAGAATAGATCAAGAATCTAACCTCAAAGCACGGATCTAACGGCTTAACACTAAGGATCAAGCTTGGAATCTACTTCTCTCTCTAAAGACTTCTTCTTCTTCTAGAGCTTCTCTCTCCTCAAGAACAAAGACATATAGCAAAATGATACATTTCGAGGTCTGCTAGCTGACTTAACACTTAGCTGGGACACGTGGCGCTACCGGGTTGGTTCTCTTCAAAAAGGTGGCTGTAGACGCGCCCGCGTGAGGGCCTCGCTACTACAGTTCGGACTCTATTTGTCATGATTCTTAATCTGAACCAAAGAGTCCAAATCTGGCAAATTGTTTTGAGAAAACAGATTTTTAGAAAAAGAAGTGTCAATCATGGACTGCTTTGCCAGATACAGAGTCGCCACCTAAATATTTTATTTTGGGGAATTTAGGAAACCCTGACTCGGTGCCAAAGGCCACGTGTCCGTCATCACCAAAGTTGCCTCGGCTCGGGAACTTGGGTACGATTGGGGAAGGTCAGCTATGAGCACCCCCTCTCGCCCGATCAAAGATCGGCCTCTACTAACCGTGATATCTTGTTTTGAAAGCATTATGTGTTCTTATTCCAGTTATTAGCCTAGAATTACTATGTTAGGCGCACAGAAAACAAGTATAGACCAAATCGCCTAAATTGTAACAAAACATTTCATGTTTGTTTTGAAAATGGTTTGCTACTCGCAAGTAGGCTAAAATGCAGATTTTGCCACCCTCAAGTGGGCTTTTAGAAAAGATGATTTTGCCACTATCTATTGGGCTTAAAACTCACAGTTTTAATGTATTATTCCAATTTAGGTAATTCAACCTCCATCCATAGGCATTCAAGCAGTTATATCACATAAGCAGCTAGCCTCATGGTAATCATACTGTCATGGCAACACTCACACGCATGCGATATGCTAAAGCATAAAAGCTTACCTAGTACTCCGAGCCAAAACAGAAACTAGTTAGTAATCATATGCATGATCCTAGTTCATGTTAAAAATGGCTAATGCAACACATGCAAAGATGCAATCTAAACAGACTCGGCTATCCTAAAGATGGCATGTGAAAATGCACAACCAACATGTATTCAGTTTGGAATTTGAAATACAGATGCAATTAGTATGATGCGCCGAGCCCGGTGCATGTAAAACAAATGGATGAATGCACGCATACATAGCATAAGGTATGCTAAATTAAACATGTCCTAATACTAACCATCTCAACAAATGCATGAATGCACGCATGCATAGCATAAGGTATGCTAAAATAAATGTGCCCTAATCTACCATCATAAGCAGGTAAATAAAAGGGAAGAAAGAAGTGGAGGTTGGAAAACATGCACACCACGCACACACACTTATTACAGACACACCCTCACTCAGAGGGACCAAAATAATAATACAGCCCGAATAATTATTGCAAAACTTCTAGTCTAATAAAAAAAAGTGCCAAGGGAAGATGGCCGCAGCCCCCGCCTCAGGATGCGTGAATAATGCACGTTCGATCCAACTTGCCCGGAAACCCGTTGCCATAGCACTACTGCCTCTGTTTTCACTGCCTTTTCTTTTCTGAAAACTTGTCAAAGTCCCAGAGAACCTTCTATGAGCTTTGCAAAACATCATCGGCTGGGAGGGATGGCCACCGGCCGTGTACAATATCCATTGGCTGGAGACAAAGCTATCGGCACTGAATAAATGGCCGGTCGGCACTGAATGTTGCCGGTCGGCAAAAACCTCCTGCAGAAGATAGTTTTGGCAGCAACAAAGGACAGACAGTGTATGGCATGAAATTCCAAGCAAATGTGTGCACCAACACATCCCTTATCATGCTTTTGACTCAAAGGGGTATGTTCCTTGATTCTTGGATCACCAATTGCGCATTTCGATGCGTGATGGTCCAAGAAACCAAGTATGCGCTTTGATTTCAAATGTCATGCAAACCAAACAAACACATAAAGCCCAACCTCTACCACATGAGGGGTGGCCCTCTCCTTCTTGGGACTTCAAAGCATCATCTTCACCACTGAAATCCCTCAAGATTTCAGTGGTGAAGAGACCTCAACACCAAAATCCCGGAGCTAGCACAAAATGGCTCAAAATGAGGCCTTTTGAGGCCTAAGGGTGGTCAACAACCCTCAAACAACAAAACACTCTTAATAAACAATAAAGAGGGCCTAAAAATAGAGAACTTTTTTATGTTATACAATAAGCACAAAAACAGCTCTAAGATAGGTATAAAATTAATGCAAGAATGGGGAAAAAAAGGACTAGAATCTCACCCTTGAAGACCCCTTTACAAATGGTGCTCCAATGGCCTCCTTGAGCTTGAATCCAACACCAAAATCTCAAAACACACTCTTTAGAACCTCAGCTCCAAGAGGAAGGTGAAACACTAGGTGTTTGTGTGCAATAGTGAGACACAAAACACCTAGTGTACAAATAAGAGGAAAGACTAGGTGTTTATTTACGTTGTTGCATTTTGCTTATCGAGTTGTAAACTTGCTAAGGTCCTGTTATATCTTAGGAAGTTGAGTTGTTTAGTTTGTTGTGTCGGTTCACTACCTGACTTGGTGATTACACAATGCGCATTTCCATTCAATTTTATTTTTGTGCAAAATAAATTGATGCGATACGATGCTAAAAATACAAACATCTTTTCAAAAGCTATTTCATTTCATCATGCTTTACAACAAACAAAGGTACAAGTTTTACAAAAAATAAAACTGCCTAACAATGGGCAAAGTGCTACAAACTACTAGCAAAAAAACAAAAATAAAGCAGGAAATAATAACATCAAAGTCCTCGGGAGCGGGAACGAGAAGCACGCCTCATCCTCTTCTGTGGGATAATCTCCGCACCGTCATCATCATCTGAGTCGGAGCCTCCCTCCTCAGCAAATGTCTCGGACTGACGATCGGTAGCCTCCTCCTCCTCCTCAGCATCCTCCTCCTCCTCATCAGGCTCCACCTCCACAACGTGAGCCCTGCGTCTGCGGACAGGCCCCCCTCGAGCTCCTTGAAAAGGCCTAGATGGCCCGGCTCCTCGGGAAGGCCGAGATGACCCCGCCCCCTGAAAAGGCCCAGAAGGCCCAGCTCCCCAAGGAGGCCCAGGTGGCCTGGTCTGCGACTGGCCGGACCAGGAAGGCATCTGAAAACAAAGAGTTCAGTTCAAATGCATCAGTCCAAATATATACATCAGATGTAGATGCAAGCAAAGGCTACATGAAATAGGTGCATATAAATACAGTGTACAAGTGGGGTGTATGTCAGATGTACTCTACACAAATAGTCTATCAATGCAGTAGAAATCAGCATGTCATCAGAGGTGTGTGTCAGATGTACTCTACACAAATAGTCTATCGATGCAGTAGAAATCAGCATGTCATCAAAAATATGATAAATGCAAGAAAACTGAAGGGTACCTGAATGCCAGCAACAGACAACTGTGCCTCCCTCCGCAGGACCATGCCTTCGAGTGTGGCCACCAGCCCAACTACCTCCTTTATGTACCCCCGCGATGGCTGCAAAAATGAGCTCATAATCATTAGTGAACAGAAGAGTGTCTACACATCTGAATGATGGATGAAAAAAGTGGAGCATACCGGCGGTGAGTCCGGATCAATGGCGTATCGATCACTGGGCATCGGAGGCTCTAGTGGAATCGGAGTCGGAAAGCTAGGCATATCTGGCCATCCGACATGAGGATGAATCGACGGAGTCGGAGGAAACGGTCTACTCCCACCTCTAGATGCGCCAGCCCTGCTAGAAGAAGGGATGTCTGTAGCTCGAGCCCAAGCTTGACCCGAGGATGACGTACCGGCAGGCCTCATCATCGGGATACGAGCTTCCGTCAATGGGGGCATCAAGTATAGGTGACGGTAAGTGGCGTAGTCCCCCTCCTCAACATATAGTAAGGCTTCAGTACCCAGCATGGCGCCGACTACCTCTGAGTAAGAGAGTCTGTCAGCGGTCCGCATACTGGCTGGGGGTACTACGGAAATATCCTGAGAAAGATACCCCCATACCTGGCGCAGAAAGCGCTCCCCCAGGAACCATACCCTGCTAACCGGCCCTTCAAGCAGGACCCTATACTGGGAGATGTACGATGCCCCGGTGTACCGAAGTCGGAGGCCATCACCCAGAGACGCCCAGGGCTGCCATGTAATCTGCGAATGATGAATGCATAAACCAATCATAAATCGAGAATATACAGAGCAAATCAAAGATGGAAATGAAAAGAACTGAAAGTTCTGAGGTACCTCTGAATGTCGCACCGTGTCGAAATACTGTCGCAGGCGAAGGAGGGTCTCTCGAGGCCTCGGCTGGTGCGGGCCCTCGAATATCAATGAATATGGGGTCACGGGAATCCCTACCACCTCCAGCTCTGGGGCTAATGATGGGAAGTATACATAAACCCATAGCTGAGAAAAGCAGTGCAGAATGTAAGTACGAAATGCTGAGAGCAAAATACAGACTGTAAAAGTGCGCTGTGGGTGCAATGTACAAGTAATGAGAAGCAGAAATGTAAATCAAGGGGACAGAAAGTACCTCCCAGGCTCTCCAATAGCCGCCAAGTAAGTCGCCCCGCCCGCGGGAGGTCGCACTCATATAAAATTAAAGGGTAGCCAGACCGGCGCCACCCCAGTCATAACGATGGACCTGTGATAGGTCGACTAGAGCGCTCAGCAAATAAAGCCCAACTGTGTTCCCTCTGTCGGCGAACAGGGTGGTCCCGAAGAGGAACATCAGGAAACCATGAGCATACTGCTCCGTCTCCTCGGGAGTCTCAGGCACCATCTCCGCCCGCCGGAAATGGGAGGAGAACCAAGTGTATCGGACTCTGCCTGAAACCCTGTCGACAGGTGGGTGAGCCCCCAACAGATACATCCAGGCGGCCTCCCACTTGCCCATATCCTCATCGTAGGGGATGGACCAACCTCCGACGTCTAAACCGGTCAATACAGCGAAGTCAAAAGGGGTCATGGTCATATCCCCGGTAGCAGAGAAATGAAAGGAATTGGTGGTGTCCCACCATCTCTCTACCAAGGCTGCCATCAGCGTCCTCCTGGCAGGACAACGTGACAACCCGACGCAGAAGGGTCCAAACCCTGCCAAGTCTACTAAATCCCGGATAGCCTTCGGGAGCTCAGCATACCAATCCCTCGCGGCAGTGGAACCATACCCCCGCACACTGCGGGAGCAAACCTGCATTCAGAATGAACACATGTGTCAATAATCAGATGAAATGGGCTGTATGCCAATGAGATGAAATGGGCTATATGCCAATGAGATAAATGGGCTGTGTGCCAATGAGATAAATGGGCTGCGTGCCGATGAAGTGCAATAAGCTACATGCAAACTCTATCTACCTGGGCTGCGTGTTCAGAAAATTTGAAATTTGGGCTGCGTGTTCAACTTTCAGTTTAAATTGTGGGCTGCGTGTTCCTATCTACCTGGGCTGCATGTTCAGAAAATTTGAAATTTGGGCTGCGTGTTCAACTTTCAATAAATTGTGGGCTGCGTGTTCACTATCTACCTGGGCTGCATGTTCAGAAAATTTGAAATTTGGGCTGCGTGTTCAACTTTCAATAAATTGTGGGCTGCGTGTTCACTATCTACCTGGGCTGCATGTTCAGAAAATTTGAAATTTGGGCTGCGTGTTCAACTTTCAGTTAAAATTGTGGGCTGCGTGTTCACTATCTACCTGGGCTGCATGTTCAGAAAATTTGAAATTTGGGCTGCGTGTTCAACTTTCAAAGGGGCAACTTTCCAGTTGCAGGGATCTGGGGTTGTGCATCTCAGTGACAGATTTTCGACGTGTCTAATTCTGATCCACATCGAAAATAGTTTTGAAAAGTTTTAATAAAAGTTGACTTTGTTCAAATCAATCTTTTTACAACTAAGACCATTTTTTGGACCAAAAGCGGAAAATTTTCAGTACCACAACTTTCAATTTCATTGATTTCAAAATAGAGTTCTCCTGCTCTTGCATTACAATCGAGGTTGCTTTTTTTTTTTTTTTAGTACATTCATAAAGAAAACTTGAAAATGCTAAATAAGCAATAAATTTGAGGCATAGTTGAATCAAGTATCTTTGCGAGAGCTGGACGGAGCATCTGATGCCAAGCTGGGCCCAACCTGTGCCTCCTCATTGAGCCAATCCACGCACTCATCAGATAAAGTGCAACTGAAAGTGAAAGCAGGGGCCAGGAGCTCTCTAGTCCTCCATGCCGTGGCATATCGGGCAAGCTGTGCACCCCGGATCAGGAAAGCGGCTGGATACTCAATCCCCTCCGGTGGGCAGGTTTGATCATGGTCAAACTGACGCAGGAACCGGAACGGAAAATAAAATACGCAGTGGGTTAGACCAACCAATTGGATCCCAATCAGCCGGGACATACTATAGCTCATAGCCGGGAGGTTGAGCCAAGGACAACGCCAAGCAATGCCGTCTGCGGACAAATTGCACATCCAATCGAACCACCACCTCTCGTCAAGAGCATTGACTAGACGCTGCCGAAAGAAGTAGCCTCGAGCTAAA